GCCGCCCTCGTCTCGCCCTGCACCACCTTTCTATATAAAATTACTGTATTTTAAATTTTACTTAAGTTAATTAAATTTTGATGAATGAATATTTAAAATTATACACTTATAATATTAGTTCCTATTGGTTTTTGAATATTTAAGTTATAAGAATTACTCAAATACCATATAAGATTTTTTAAAAATTAAATAAATGAGACTCAGTAATAATAGAAAGTTCTACCCACTTTAAATATGAGGCGAACGTACACTTATGTTTTTATTAACAGCGCAGACATAAAACATCCGTTCATATATCTATCCACCGTATCCTCATCTCTGAGACTAACTTTTCCACAAGAAAAAGATGATCCACGTATCAATTGATGTGTTTGTCTATAAGACAAAACTAAATTATTTAGTTGTGTAAAAGAAAAAAACATATTATGATTCAATGATTTGAACCGAAAAGTAAGCTCTTGAATTTGTCAACAGACTAATGATAGGCTTTTTGATGAATGAAAAGATTGTTTTATCTGAAAAAGAAGAGAAAACTTTTGCACATACCTGTTGGCATCGGACATATATATATATATATATATATATATATATATATATACATACACACTCGTTGTAAAGAGGTATGCCCCCACAACGAGACAAGAGAGTATGAAGTAATAATTAATATTTGGAAATGACTTGAGCATGATTCTGATGTTGGGAGCAGAAGATTCAATTTTCAACGAGTTGGGACAAAGTTTTCAATGAATGATAAGAAATAAGTAAGTACATCATGATGTTTTTCAACCTTACGATGCTGCTATTATTTATGGCTTATCTCTAAATGAAATATGACTGGTTGATGATCAATTTATCAACTTCAAGAAAATACCAACAAAATAATTCTAAGATATTTTAATTATATAATAGAAATGCATGTTGTGTAATATGTAGGATTGAGAGGAAACACTTGGCTGGAGGAGGACCAAGAGTGGAAGGCGTGCGTGCTGTGTTATGTGTGTGGCTTGCATGATTCGTGAAGCTGGAGAAGGAAGGTTGCTCATGGCATGCAACAGAGAAGACTAAAGAGGAAGGAAGGTATATGCGTACAACAATGAAATGAGACGAGAAAGGAAGAGAAGAGAAAATCTTTAGGTTTAAAACTCTAACATCTATGTATAATACTTTTTTCTTCAGTAATCACGTTTAAACTAGAAAATACGTAATACGAACTAAAATTTTCAGTTTTAAACTTTTAGAATCGAGAATCAAACTATAATTAGTCCGTTTAATTCAATTTAGATCGAATAATCTATTTTGATTGTTTTTTTTTTTAAGTTTAGATTGGATTATGCATGTTCTTACGGTACGTAGTTGATAAGATCAAAATAGTATATACTAACTATTTAATAGCGTAATGTTAAGTAAATAGGAATATATTTTAACGAATATAAAATGTATTTTTCTCACGCCAAGATGAAGAAGAATGTTTCTCGATTATGGATCAAGATGGTTGTGCTTCAAATAAATCTAATCACTCACTTGCGATTAAAGGATTATATTTTTATCTAAAAATATTTTATTTTAAAAAATATTTTCTCTTTATCATTATATTTGATTAAATTTATACTTTGAGGTATAAAAGAAAAATCATCATATATATATATATATATATAGAGAGAGAGAGAGAGAGAACAAACTAATACTATTGGAATTGCAAGGAGGTTTCAATATAATTAAGATATTGATATTAAATCCAAAGTTTTATATGATGGTATATATGAAATATAATAGAATTTTTTATTATATTGTTGGAATAATGTAATAATTAGATTATAAAGAATATTTAAAAGCTAATCAATAAAATTGTGAGGGTCGTCTACTTAATTGATTTTTTTTAATTGAAACTATGAACTTTGACATGATTAATATAAGTAGTTATATATAACAAATATGCTG